CTCCTCTCCTGCGGTGAATTAGCCTTTCCTGGCTAATTCAGAGTAAGGGGAGGATTGTTTTGGCCAGGATTACCGACGGGGTGCAGCGGGTGGCGCCTTGCCGTTCGGTAACGCGAAGATAGCCACCGTGATGCCGTAACGCGAAACGGCCGCACCATCATGCCGACACGCCAAGAAGGTCACCATGATGCCCGGAGTACCGCGGGTGGCAGCCACGCCATGCCGAAGGCTACAAAGGGGGTCACCGTGATGCCTGATTGACGGAACTTTGCCGAGGGTGTTTTAAAGAGATGTTTTTAAAGAGATCAACTGGAGCCACCCCTCGGCAACATCAGGTCGGCTCCTACGTGTTGCCGGCGCCCGCCCTCGTTGCTGCCACGAAGTTATTTGCTTGCATCTAACTTCGTGCCCTATAGCCTACTCTTTCCTTTACGGATTTTTTCGGCATTAGGATGACTCTCTGTGCACCTTCTGGTGAACTGGACCCCATCTTCGGGCTCGTGCTCGGACGTGGGCAGACCTTTACCTCCCGCAGGGGAGGGTGTGTCTGGGGGGCCTTAGCGTGCCTGCCTTACGGTGCACAGAGAGTTGCCAATCTTTTTGCTAGGGACTGGTCTGGCAGACCATGTTAATGACTGCCACTCTAGTAATTCGTTTAGGGCGATAGGCAGGTAGGAGCCCCTCCCCGTTGGCATTAGCTCTGTCGAAATAGCTGCTGCTAGACAGAACACTGCCTTATTTAGCCGCCACTGGAACCGCCTTGAAAAAAGTTAGCTTCTCTCCCTCAATGTGGTGAAGCAGCCTTGACTGGCTGCTTCTGAGGGGCGAAAAAGCTTCCTTGAAAAGGTACAGGCCTCCTCCTTTCTCACTGTGGTAAACAAGCTTTGGCTGTTTCAGAGGAAGGAGGAATTCACTTTGAAAAAGGCTTAAACCCTCTCCCCTCCCAGGGTTGAGAGGAAACAGCTGGCAAAAGTGAAAGAGCTCCATCCCTCATTGTGGAGAAGCAAGCAACCATTGGGTGATTGCTTCTGAGGGATGAGCACAGGGTTCCAAACAATGATGTTCAGTAGGTGGAAGAACATCCCCCCTGGTCTCTCCCCAGGGGTTCACACCTACACCGGCTCCTACAACGATATTGTCCCGCCACTGGAACCACCTCGAAAGGCAGCTTCTCTCCCTCACTGGAGGGCTGAACGAGCTTCCCTGTAAAGGTGCAGGACTCCTCCTTCCTCACTGTGGTGAAACAAGCTTTGGCTGTTTCAGAGGAAGGAGGAAATCACTTTGAAAAAGGTTCAGGCCCTCTCCTCCCTTGATAGGGATGAGAGGAACCTGCCGGAACCCCAGGGGTTTACACCTACCCACGCGTTTGCCGTGCGTGGCAGCCTCGTGCGCTGTGGAGACAGGAGTCCTGGAGTCTGAGCGATGCCGTGAATGAGTACGCCCTGCGGCTAGCAACACGCCTCTTTGGTCCTCTATTCCAGCAAGACAGGAGACCTGATCCCGGCCCGGTCACGGTCAATCGGCTGGTCTCCCACGGGAGGCTAGGGCCAAGCAGTCATGCCTCCATTGGCACTCACAATGGTCCGTGAGTGCCACCACAATGGTTATTGGCTGCGTATATCCTCTCATCACCCCTGTGGCTGTCAGACACTGGCTCTGACACACAGCTTCCCCTTGTTGGACTCCGTGGTGGGTGGGGGCGTGAGAGGATGAAGTACTTACCAGTATATGGAAAAATTAAATAAAAAACCCCCACTAGATAAAAATGTTGACGAACCACGCAATGCCCAGACCACGGTAGCCACCTTGGAGCCATACATGCCTCCAGATGGCGGAATAGTCCATCAGAGAGTGAAAGAGATGGACTCTCGTGCTGGTCTCTCCAGACCAGCACCCAAGCCAGGGAAGCCTCTGAGTCCCCCTCAGGTGGCTTCCCTGACAGGGGCGCGAGCACAGGCTGGACCAGCCGAACCAGCAGCTGCTCCCCCCACGAACGAGCCCACCAGCCGACAGGGCTCACAGAAGCGACCAAGGCCGGAGACGGACTCTGACGGAGAGTCCGGACCCAGCCACAGTCGCTTGACCCATTTCAAGGTCCCAGCCAAACCAGAAGGCTTCGACAATGCCTACCAATTGGTGAGAGCATTGGAGATGCACAGAAAACTCCGGCTCTCAATCCGAGTAGCCCGAGACCAAGGCATGATCATAGTGCCGAAAGACCGTGCCACCCTGAACTTCCTTCGGGAAATCAGGGAACTCGCAGATGGGAGAAAAGTGAGTCTTTCCCCATTGACCCCCGAGGATAAGAGAAGCAAGATGGTGTTACTTGGCTTCCCAGTCTCATATGATGTGGAGCTAATCACTTCACATCCTCAGGTAGTGGAGGCTTCCCGAATGACAGTAGGGAAGACTCCAACCAGGCAAGTCCTGGTTACACTTAAAGGTGCCCCAACCACTACCCTTGACTTGGGTAACTGGGGCACCTTTAAGCTTCGAACGTTTGTGCCTGAACCACTTCGGTGTTTCAAGTGCCAGAAATATGGACACCACCAGGCTAACTGTACAGCCAAGCCCAAATGTGGTGTCTGTAGTAAGGCCCATAACACCGAGGTGTGCCTGACGGCCCACAGAGAAAAGAAGGAGACAACAGCCAAGTGTCCCAACTGTGCCAAGAGGCATCACGCCTGGAGCCTGACTTGCTCTGTCAGGAAACAGGCGGCCCTCAAGTGCCAAGAGGTTGCTGAAAAGCGACCAGATTTCATTCCTGCCCCCCCAGGCACGTATGTGTGGGGCAGGAAGAAAAGTGAAAAGGCCCCCCAACCTCCTAAGAGGAAGGAAGCCGCCCCACAGCCGACACCGGAAGTCTCCAACACAACGGAGTTTCCGGAGATGCCGAAGCCCAAGAAGAAGCCAAAGAAGAAAGCTTCTAAGAAGGCATCAAAGCCCTCGTCGGGAGATGACGATCTCTTCGACGAGGCAGACATGACCCTCCTC